GTGTGTGTGTGTGTGTGTGTGTGTGTGTGTGTGTGTGTGTGTGTGTGTGTGTGTTTCAGTGAAGTTTGTCACGTAATGAAAGATCACGGTTTCCCCTTATTTCGATACTAATACGACAACCTCGAACACACACACATACACATACACACATACTTAGACATACACACATATATATACATAGACACACAGACACCTACACACGTACACATACGCATACACGTACACATACACACAAACACATACATACACACACCTACACAAGCACACATACACATACACACATGCACACACACACGCACACACACATACATACACACATATACGTACCCACATACACATACGCTTACAAAACACATTCGCACACCTAGCCGATTACATAAATAGAATTATAGCTCTGTTAAAAGGTGGGAAGCCTAGCGTTAGCCAGGCAATGGAGCTGGTTATTAAATAACCAGTTAGAAAGTAGGAGGAGTTATGATGACTCCTTTCCGAAATGAGAAGCATTCAGTATTAAACTTGAACGTTGTATCTATCTATCCAGCTAGAATATATGTGAAGTTACCATTTTTTGGAGTTGTCTATTTGGCAAATAGTGCAGACTGAAAGTTGCAATAACATGAAACCTTATTTCCCAAATTCGTATTGCAATCCTGTGAAACTTACAGAGTTTACCAAATTTCTATATAAGTAATTTAGAGATATCACCTCATGTGACTTCTTCACAAATGCACTCCTAATTTCTGCTTCGGTAGCATTCCGTTCCACACCAAGAACCTCATAATAATTCGGTTTCCTGAATGGAATTATAGGAATTGAAATAACCCAAGCCTCCAACAGAATCCTATTGTATTTCGCGGAATAAAAATGATTGACTGGAACCTTGATGTGCTAATTATTAAGGTAGTGTTGTCCGTATATCTAAGATGGACTATCTGAATTAAATATTTCGAAAATTACATGCGTCACACTAGTGATCTTGCATTTGATCAGCTGAGCAATGTTGCTAAAAACTCATTCTGAACAACTTTCTTCGTTAAAGCTTTTGTCTTAACATTCTCTGCATTCTCTTATTCACTGCAATTCTTTCACCACTCCTCAAGTCTGGTGCTTCAGAATATTGATATTCATACGTATATTAGATTTTGAGAAAAATAACGAAGCGATCATTTTTGGAATTACTTACCGAGGTAAATACGAAACATGGCGTTCTAGCATGACATCTACCCTGCAGCATCGCATTAGCAACAACATAAATCGTCGCAGCTCGAATATTGGGCATAAACTGATAGCCGGCCCAGTATTCCTTCCAAACACTACCTGGTATGATGCAACTCCAATGTGTTGAAATTGCCGAAAAATAGATGCATTTTACAAGTTGTCCCTAGTCCACACTAAACGTCATAGGGCTACTGTCAACCATAATTTTTACCAGATGGAGAAGCAGCCCCTGCGTGTCGTACTGACCAACGGCGGGAAGGCGTGTCGGCCTACGGACTACTTGAACTCGGTTCCTTTAAATTTGCCGGATGCGTCATTTTTCTGCCCTCGTCTGGCGCACTCCCGTTTGATTGTCGCACTCTCTCCAAAGTGTTCTCTCGTCTAGAGTAAGTCTTTAAACAGATGTATGAAAAGATGGGTCTCGATCTTGAAGTTCTATGAAGCTAAGAACATAATTGTTGGAATTGACAAGGAGAGGAAGGAATTGAAAAATGGGAGTGGACGTGATGTAATTTGGAAAGGGCAGTTAATGTGAATCGTGATCGGTGCCTTTAAGTTTTCTTTCTCTCCATTTGTACTCAGCATTTCTTGACAGCTGTTTTCATATTCTTGTGAGGCTATCCTTCTCCAGCTAGAAGTTGGGCAGTGGTTGAATCCGCTACTTTATTTCCACTTATAAGTAAAGAGCTATGCAATCCAAACTGTGGAAGGAGATTTATGATCAGTTGACGAAGTTGTTCCTTTCCGAAAGGCGCTTCAGGCACTCACTGCTAGAAATGATTTGAGAGTCATCACCTGAATGCTTGTTTACCTCCAAGGAAAAATGTTAGATGTACAATTAGCTGTTATATCTCCACTTGTGCCCGATAATAACTTTTAGAACTAATTACTTAATAACCTAATTTCCTCTCAAAATATTATTCCTTATAATCTTCACAATTCCTTCACTTCCAGCTAGATTTATGAGGGTGAAAGGTGAAACGAATCATGTATTGTTTTTCCTTTGTTCTCTTTCTTTGTCCTTTAATCTATCTTCAAAGATATTAACATTAACTATAACTTTTCCATTAATTATGAGGATGTCTGCAAGTTTAATGAGCCCTGAGTCTTCCCTCCTAATCAGGGTCGCCTCGCATCTATGTGCGAAGAACTTCTAATTAGTTCGGTGCGATCGTAAACCGTGAGGCTGACTGACTTGGATGAGTTGGTTGACACAGCAACTGCGTCGTATGGGTGGCAGTTGAAGCCCATGCGCCCCAATTGCAAGGTGGCTGCGAACGCCGCGCCAAACGACCGCCTCCCGCTCGCGCGATATCACGACCGTAACCCTTCATTAATGTAATCCACGATAAACCAGCGAAATATGAGTTCACCAATTTTATTTGATTAGTATTAGGGAATAGGGAGACCGGCAGTTGGGTGGTCCCGGTCACTTACCTTTCACTGTTTTTCTATCGCTCTCTACAGTAGCTATCAAACTGATGAAGAAATGTGGCTGATTAGAAATATACGAGTGAATCTCGGTATATAAGCACCTCTCAAAGTATAATCTGAATAGTAAAGCTTGAAATGAGGAAAAAAAGTCGCGTTTTATACATGGGAATACTAAGAAAGAAGAAAATTGCCCTCGACGATCTCTTCAAAGTGGTACTGGAAATGTCCCCTTTCACTTTGTTATATTCTTGATTGATCAGGTCTCCCACCACAAGTTAGCCCCTACCGATCTAACTGTACCACTCCTGGAAAGGGAAGATTCAAACAAACACACTCATAAGTCAATGCTCATGCCAGTATTAAAGTAGAGGCCATCATAGTCTATAACTCCAGCGGAGCTCACAGTTAACGGTTATCAAAACATTAGGTGACTTGGAGAGCCGCGTGGCCATTATCTTCGGTGGAGGACGTTACTCGAATCAGTATCACAGTTACCCATCAGGTAACTGCTGAACATAACCTGGAAATGACTTATTGAAAGTTTGGCTCAAGTGTTTTTTTCTAATTCTCTCTCAGTGGGGATCCAGCTCTGTGTCAATGTTCATTTAACAGTGTTGATGAAAATTCTTCTTGCAAAAATGTGTTCCCTACATCTCTACTCGAGCTATTAGCCGCTTCCATTGTTGGCTTTCGAATAACTCGAAATGGTTTCGTTTGTACCCACTACAAAATCCATGCATAGAGTGATCGTGTTCGAGAATTACTCCTTAGCATACAACCCTAAGAGGTCACCTAAGTAAACGTCAAATGAAGTGTTTTCCAAAGATTTTCATACAAGCTATTGCATTTGTTCACATATCAGGGGAAGTAATGATCCAGCCCTGTTCAGTTCATCACAGCGCCGAAAAAATCCGTGAGGTAGCATTCCGCAGGAAATCCTGGGGCTACGGCCGTGGCACCGTGCCAACAGAGGTCCCTCGCGAATGTCAGCAGTAGTTGGCAAAATGCCACGAAAGGGACCTGTAGATTTAGTTCGCCTCGCGGAGCGAAGCTCACCCTGTGGAAATAAATAGCACCCGCAATGTACTCACACCCATAGATCGACCTTCTCTACCCCTCTGTGCTCTACCCTTCGCGGCAAAAATTCGAATGTTACTTCCCAAGCACCCAACTATTTGCTATAGAGATTATTGCCTTTGGGCGGGAAATAGTCGCACCACGTTTATTAGGAATGCCAATTTTGATTTGTCCTTTCATTTATATGAACTAAACTAATGCCGTGAATAATTTTATTAAATGTTCAGTTTTGGCAGGTTTGCGAATAAAGGAGCAAGATCTGCCTTCGCGATGTCTCCTCATAGAAAACGACACAGTGCCTTGGTTCCTGATGCAGCAACAAAAAGGCGCAGAGGCGATGAAAAACCCGCCGACAAGGTGAAACGCATAACTTTCTTTCATTCAACAAGATTCTTTCCATGCATTCGGTCGCATTTTCCGTCGGTCTCATTTTTTGCCTAAGGATCAACGTCACACTAAGTTCAGGGCGTGTTTGAAGCGCATCTCGAACACTTATCCCAGACTTCAGAAGCTGATAGCACTTCTTCAAGAGAACGGGAAGAGCTCGAGGAAGGTCTTGGTACTACCACCTCTATCGCTTTCCAGGTACTGTCCTGCTTCTAAAGTTTTGTTTTGAATCCCATTAAGCAGTTAATTATTTGAATCTTTCTTGACATTTCGATCCGTGCTACTAGATATTCTGCACGTTGCAAGAGTGTTGTCTTTGCCAGTCGCAAGTGAAATTTCCATTAGGACGGACCATTTATACTTCTTTTTTCTTCCGAACTTCTTTTTTGCAATACATAAGAACATTTTGCAGTTTTAATTTCCATTTTCGTAAACAGCATTCGAAACTCTATCTATTTATCTGGGTCTGAATTCAAAGTTCCAAGATAAGTAGACTACCCCTCCCTGGTTAGATAAGTTAACGGTCAAAGATGTTACGAACGTTACTAAGATTTTTTCGCCGCTACTTATCCATTGTGCAATGCAATCACATTTGTGTGTTAAAACCATGTATAAGTTGTTTGTACCTCAATGAGTTGGGACATCACCCTTTGAACAGCTAAGGGACACAGATGCCGTTTTTCTAAACAGTGGGACTTTACCACGCTGGCGCGCGCTTGAGAAGAAAACAATTGCGAGCCGTCTTCACTTTATGATCTCAATTCTGTCCATCACAGTTGGAACTTACTGCTCAACATGCCTCAGACCTCTCTCACTTCTACGCTTTTTCTTCAGCTATAGGATGTCCTGGGATGTAGTTATGAATTTGTGAGTTAATGCGGCTCACATGGAGAACCCTCTGCCCACTGTGGAGGAGTACCCATCTTCTCTTTGTTGAGCCACTCCTCACAAACCGACTGCCTAACAAATGGGAAGCAGTGTGTGATGTAGATGGTATATAGGTTCCGGAGTAATTATTTAAACATGTCTTTGTTCGGTATTTTTATCGTTATTTATATAAAATTCGTTGAAATAAATCCGCAATAATTATGCATTAACCTATAGTTCGGAGCTCCTGATCGGTAGCCCACCCGACCAAGCGTCCAAACGGGCTGCCCATTTACACTAGCTCCTAGAAACTCGAACACGGAAACATCCTAGCTAAGAAAGTAACTTTTTGCGACTCCACAAGCGTTGCCGCCCTTCTCTATTTCCTAGGGGGACCAAGGAGACATCACTGCCGGTCGTTGGATAAAATTACGCGGTCATCTCAAAGCCCACAAAAGGGATGAATGGCAAGAGTTCACTTATTTCAGCGATGCACTCATTTCGGTTGCTCAGCTTAAGTTTCCTCTCTTAGATGTACAGAGCTTCCAATATTGCGTAGCAGCTTTTACGAGCCAACTTTTCTCTTCTCTTTAGCCTGCTCACTCGAGGAATCAGTTTATGATCGTACAAAATCTTTGTTGTACAGATGATGCTTTACAATTTGGTGCAGAAAGCCTAATAAGATACCCATTGCTTTCGCTTTTCTGTGCGCAGAGGGAACTTCACTACTACGCAGACCTTCGCCCTGCTTCCGTAACCCATTGGCGACCGCGCCTTTTACATTGTCCTTACATTAACTGTTAATTTCTCTTATATCTGAGTTGCAAATGAAGGATTCCTGGACCACGATGCCTCACGGTTCTCTACGGCTGAGCTCAACTGATACTTGAAAACAAAAAAATTATAAGAGCACTTGAAAAATAATATAAAAACTACAGGAGCACGATATGGTGTGGCCCGTCTTATGGCTGAATATGCCTTCTGCCTTGTTACATTGAGTCGCCGGTATATGTCCTGTGCCAAAAGTACTTATAAATGCAAAGTGATGGATGGTTTACCTCGCCCCTCAACACTAAGCGTTCGAGCGCAAAGAAGGACCTAGCATTACCAAGCCCATAGTGGTGTTTGGGAACGTTTCCCACTATCGACAACACAATTTTTTTCATTTAAGGTCTACTAGAAAAGGACCGTTGAGGTGGATTAGTGAATATTCAATTCTTACATTATCATAGCTTTTTGCATTTATCAATCATCTCACCCACCCTGCTGCTACTGTCTTCGTGAGGCTGGGGTAATAAATTATCCTACTATATATAATGCGCTCATCTACGTGTTTGTGTGTGTATGTCGGTGTGTGTGTCCGACCGGAAGTTCATAGCTCCTGTTCCGGTACCTAGAACGTTCAAATTTCGTACGAGTAAAGAGAAAAGGATGGGAACAGTTGTGGTGCGTGGCAGAACCAGATTCCGCCTACGGCGGTGGGGTCTGTACGAAGTAAATGTTTGACCGGAAATTCGTAACTCTTGTTTCCGTAACCTAGAGCGTTCAAATTTGGTAGGTTGATGTAGGATATGACAGGGTCGTGGGTACTCGGTGACAGGATCCAATGATAACAGATAAGAGGAGATAGGGAGTCTGAGAGAGCAAGAGTCACCTACCGATTGAAATCCTAACGCCTTCGGTGCAGCTTTGACTGCTCAGTATGTTTCATTCAATAAGGCGGGATGGTAGAGTAGGGTGACAAGAGTGAGAGAGAAGTGCTGTGATAGGGACCCATTGACTCTTGACGACAATGGATCCCACCGGTGGGTGCCACTATGTCTGGCTTATGGGATATTGGCACCCAATTTTAAGAGCCACCATACTTTCTTGGTTCCTACCAATTGCTGAATCCAGTAAGTCAGTGAAAGAATTTTCTCGTGGGACAGTGCCACCCACCGGTGAGTGCCAATCGCGCACGAAAGGATGGGAGTGTCTTCCCTTGGGCGCGTCTCGTCGAAATCTGCATTGTCGTCGAAGGGTTAACAGCACTACATTCCTTGCCGTTAGTTTACGACCGCTACCCAGCAATGTTTGTGGCTCAATGAAGGATACTCTTGGTCGATATCATTTGCGACGAAACCTAGCTAACCGCCAGTAATCTGGACTCTCAACTAATGTCTCGAACAGAAAAAGGTATATTGGTAACGACATCCTATCTTATATAAGTGTTATCATCACTCGGAACATTTGTGAGTAACGCCCAAGGCTTTGGTTGCCTAACAGTTGGATCTCTATTGGGTATTTATTTTTAAAAAAGAGGCAAAAGATCAAGAATTCCAATCAAAGGCATAAGCACACTACAGTGAAAACCATTTGCGCTGCCCTGTTAGACTGTGCCGATTGGTATTCGGAGAAAGGATAAAACATGATTTGACTTGATCTCTTGTTAACTGGTGTTTGGCAGCAGTACGTGATAAGGAAATATCACAACGTTTGCTAGTTATGGTCTAAATTTCGGCCTCGGACGGGACTCGAACACGCGTACTACTACTTGTACTCAAATTACATTTTGAATTTTAAACGTTTCATGCTCTACGATCGGTCTTATTAGCAGATTGTTTTCAAATTTAAAAACAGTTCACTAAAAATTGGTAATCAATTAGTTCTCAGGTTCCACGTGCGGCTCCTTATGAACTCTGGCTTATTGTTGGGATAACGTTGTTGACATACCTCCGCACAAGTCTATAAATTGATGGCTTATGTATCGGCGATAGTGCCTGGAATCAAAGTTATGAAGTTACCGATTATACATCCCAAAGGAAAAAACCCAGTCGAACTTCTCAACACCCTGCGAGACCTTTGAGATCAAACCAAACTGGCCTGGCGCCCAATCTTGCTTTTTATTAGGATGTCCGGAAAGTTTTGAAAAGTTATTCCTATCATCGGTGAAGGCATGTTGCACTCGAATGCACCAAAGAAGGACTATAGATCTGATAGCAGTAAAGGGCATTGTTGGTGGATTAATACTATAGCTGATCGATGCTCGACGTGGTCACTCGGAGTAATAATCGCTGACCGAACGATGTCCCATCGATAAGATTTCCGGAGCCTCCTGCTTCAACATTACGAAACTGATCCTTTCAACCCTCGAGCTTGGAATGAAATTTTGTGACTGCAGGGCATCCTCTCTTGTCATCTGCCACAAATAGTACGATTGCTGTGAGAAGGGATTTTCTCCGACGAAGTTCGTCAAAGCAAACGTCCACTCTCCTCAATTACCGTTACTGTTCTTCCTGAAAGTGTCAGGAAATGCAAAAGACGGTCCGTCTAAACAAATTCATTATCCACAGTGTTCTGCGCATAAGTTACTTTCAAAGCACGTCTTTTTGTAAATGTCGCCCATTCCTAGACTGAGGAGGAACATCGAGTTCGTCAATGTTTCAGAAGTTCTTGGAATAAATAAACGACGACATCAACTGACTTCATTATTGCTCAGGATAAGAAGTAGGTGCCGTATGAAAATCCGTGCAGGAAATCGCATTGCCTACCAGTTGAGTAAGGCCACATTTCGCTAAAAAGCGAGGTGCTCACGCCAGAAAGGAATGAGCTCATACTTTCTGCTTAACCGGATGTTTGACTATGAGGCCCTACCAGAACGTAATGCGGCAAACGCGGAGTCTTCTGTTAACAACTAAGAGAGATGGTGTCTCGAGCTCCTATTTTCCACCGATTAGAAGGAAGTTTTCGAATGCTCGGCCACCTCACGCGAGGAGGTGTATGGATGAGGCTCGGTATAACCTGACTACACCATCCCCACATATTCACCAGACCTCATTCACCAGACATCACACTCTATGACTGCAATACTTTCAGAAGCCTTCAGACCTGTTCTTAGGGAACAAATTCACCAACTGTCGAGATGTCAAGTAAGTGGTTGATGAATGAATTGCGTCACACCTCTCTTCATATTAGAGGAATGGCACAAGTGCTCTGTCCGGTTGATGGAGAGACATTGTGGCTAGGAAGGGGCTGCATCGTGATCACTAATCTAACTTTGTCGTTGTAATTATTTTGTGTTACTTTTCTCAGAACTTATCAGATACTTCAGTATATCGAAAACCCTTTAAACTGGTAAGGTAAATGATTTGTATTCAAAATATGCAAGAACGTTCCAAGTTTAGACAGACGTTCTGTACTTTTCACAGTTTGAGGGACGACAGTCATGAGCCTGCGATGTCTGCTGAAGAAATGAATACGTAACCCTTAGGTATTCGACATCGAAACGTATCATGAACAAGGCTCAGCCACATCGTTTGACCGGACAAACGTGAAGCTCTATGGTGTCACGAAAAGAGGCAACTCTATTTGTGCGATTGTAGTAGACTATTTCCCTCATTTCTATTTCCAGGTCAGCATATCAAATAGTGGTAGTTTCAAGAGAATTTTCGGTAACTTTTTTTGGAACGCAGCTCCATGGTTTAGGCTCCCGAAGGTTTTGCCGGCGAACATTTGGATGTTGCTCAAAGGAATCTAAACAACGCAATCGCTACTTCGATGCGACGGGCTAATTCAAATCTTCAATTGTCTTCCGTTGTTGTGGACAATTTAGTGCACTTAAGTATCGTTAATGGAGAAAATATTTATTATTACCGGGGTGAGTTTATTTCGCTGGTTGTTTTTCAACGTCAACTGAAACTGTCATTTGATAGTAAGTGAAGAGTTCCAGGCTCTGAGAAAAAGTATCCCTTTATTAGAGTCTCTGGATCCATCCTAGCTTTGAATAAAGCTAAACAAGAGTTGAAAAGCAGTGGCTTTTCGTATGGTGCAGGACCAGTTCAGGTGAAGTCGTTTTTCAAAGTTGTACATTATTTATTATTGCTTTTTGTGCAGGTGGGTACTCTGTTTGAGGCAAACATAGATACCGAGGTGAAGTTCATGGCCAGCAGTGGTATTGTGGGCTGTGGATGGGTAGAAATTCCAGTGGGTAAAGCTGTAATCGTCACGGAAAAAATAAAAACTTCGAGGTATCTGCATTGCTGCTTGTGTTTTAGCATAGCATAGCGATTATGAGTATACATTTTTATTTAGATGCCAACTAGAGGTTGTGGTCAAGCAAAAAGATCTGATACCCCATGATCCGGAAGGCGAGTGGGCCGTTGTTGCTCCTATCCGGTAATTTGGTTTGTCTTCTACAAATATCAAGTTGATTAACACTGTTCCATAGCACTTTATCGTTTGATATCGAATGCATGGGACGTCGTGGAGTGTTTCCGGATGCAACCGAAGACCCAGTAATCCAAATTGCCAATATGGTCAAGATGAGTTTATTTTGCTTGCTGGTTAACTTTTATTTTTTTTTGCCCAATTAGATATATAAATATGGGGAGGCCAACCACAAAAGTAACCTTGCAACTGATATTTTTTGAGTTACTTCAACAAGTTTCGGAAAATGGATTCCTACGTAATGCTTTGGTTTTCCACTGGCATAGGTAGATTCCGTTTTTAGGAAGCTTTGGTTACATGGTGTGGTGAATGAAATCAACGTCTTCATCATAATAGCAATGGCAAATGTTGTCTCTCAGACCGTGATTCTCATTTCATGAACACGTTATTTTAGATGGAAGGAGAAACCGAACCATTCATACGAAACTGTTTCGTGTTGGGTTCTTGTGCTCCAGTCATTGGCTCTGAAATCATTCAATGCGAAAGTGAAGAAGAATTGCTAGGGAAGTTAGTTCTCTATGACGCCACCTAATGTTATGTTACTCTTCGGATTTTTTCTGAACATAATTGTACAAATAAGAATGAACACTCGACTCCGTCTTGGGCAGGTCGTCTGACCAACAGATGAGTGTAAAAGAACGGCAGGTCAGAAAGTCTTCTTAGTTTGCTAGGTGAGCAGCTGAACAGGGAAGGGATCAGGGACCTCTCAATTTTCTCCTTTTTCCCTTTTTCTTCTTCTTTCTTCTTAAACATCCATGGCTCTGCTCAAATGCATTCTCCATGACTGCTCACATGCATTCTAGAATCCGAAAAGTGTCCAGCGGCTGTTGGGTGAAAGGTGGTCGAATCCCCAAATGGGGTTTGCACTGGGGCGAGCGGGCAAGGGTTATAAATCCACAACTCAGCTCAGAGACGCTCACAACGTTCCAAAATCGTCTTTATCGTCTGCATGTGAGGTCATTATCATTACCTCAACGTGTGAGGTCAGTTTAATTACCTACAATTAAAGAGAATCCGCTACTGTCTGTCTATCTATTTGTCCAGAAATTCGGTATAATCTGGAGAACACCTGAAGAGGTTGTGTCAAGCTTGGTATGGGTGGAGCCGCGGGCGACATCATAGAGAAAATACGAGTCCAGGGGAATTCCGCTTACAAGGGGTGAAACACGCACCGGAATGGGCAGTGAGACAATTTTCACAGTTCTGCCCCAGAAAAGCCCAGACCCCGGAGAAAAAGGTCAAAAGTTAGGAATGGGTCATCAAATCAAACTAGGGAGGTTTATCCGCAGTGAACGGTGCGTTTTCGCACTTTTCGATAAACTCATTTCCCAGCGAAACTCTTAGCCAGATTTTTGAGGTGTATAGCTAGGGTCAAAAATTCATTCATGTTTGGTGCGTTCTTTGTCGTGACGCACGCGCGGTGCGCAGCCCAACAGGTGAAAACACTGTGCATAAATTTAATGAAGACGAAAATATGGCGACATCTAGGCTGCTCTGAGGGGTTTCTATTCGTCAATATTGAATATACCCGTAAGGCAACCCACGCTGACGCGTGCATTCTCGGTCTACGACGCGCATTCACGAAAGTTATTTAGCGGAGTGTTGGATTATGAGTATGATTCTCTCTAGATTTGAACGTTGAACCGCTTTGTGGGCATCCCGCTAGATAGATTTTATTTGAGCAGAATTATTAGTGGTTTATCACAGCCCCCTCCACCTCAGTGCAAACCTCTCCAACTATGAAAACTTGACCATACCTCTTTTAGCTGCCCGCAACCATTTTCCCGCATTATAAAACGATTCGTATAAATTTTTGATCCTTGTCCCTCCCACCCCGTAAGGGCTCCGCCCACTTCACGGGTTTGCTCACGTTCCTTCTACTGACTCTAACCCTTTTTTACCATGCCTTCTCGAATGTTTCTGAACAAACGTGAATTTTTGATCCCGCCCACCTTAGCGCAGATTTCGCATTTTCTTCTATTACCTCCAGCCTTTTTCTCCGCGTTCTAGAGCGTTTCTGAACAGGGATATGAATTTCAGATCTTGGCCGGCCACCTTAGTTCAATCCACGCGCACTACAGTGATTTGATAAGCTCTGAACTTGAAATCTTCTACATACCTTCCAACCAATCTTCCTCTGTTTTCTGTAACGTTTTGAAGAGAATCATACGTGCTTTTAACATTTTTTTTTATTTGAAGGCTCGCCCCCCCCCCCATCGTGAGCGGAGCTTTGCCGAGTTTATTCATGGCCACACGCATAAGGCCTTGCTCACTCCTTTTATTTTTTTAGCCCTGCCCATCTTAGTGCAAATTGACCAACCTCACGTATTTGACCACATTTCTATTATTGTCTGTAACCACTTTTTTCCTCGTTTAGTTTTTGACCTTAGCCCCGCAAACCTTAGTGAAAACCCCGCATAATTTTAATTTGACCACACTTACACTTTAGCATCTGACCAAGTTTTTTTTCTACGTTTCAGAACATTGTTGAACAAAATTATTTACATATACATATAGTTTGATATCTTTTATTGGAATACAGCCCCCCCCATGGGCGAAGTTTCGCTAAGTTTACGCATGTCTGGCACGTATAAGTTTTTGCTCGCTCCTTGAATTCTTTTTCTAGCCTTCACGCTACCGCTGAATCAAGTTACGAACATGTAATGAGTACTACCCACTGGGAGAACGCTCCGCCCATGGCTGAAGAGTCTTCAGTTCCTTTGTTGACCCATGCCACACCTTTGCTCACGGCGCCTGGCTTGTAAGAAAACCTGAAACGAATGTTTCGCCAAAGACACCGCCCACTCTTGTGCATGTCCCGCCCCCTGTCGGCAGAGTTCCGCTCGCTGAACTGGGCTCACTTTCGTCCACTCGCTACTGCAGCCCACACGTGGACTACCTGGTCTAGCATGACCATTTTTTGATTTTCGAATTGGGGAATTTTTGATTCTATCTGAATTCACGAATAGAGGTTACGGCTAACGATAATGTATGCAGAACTCGAATTATATTCAGCTGATCGATTCTGATGAGGAGCAGGCAGAAGATGAGGATGACGCCACTTATGCTTTCTCGGGCAGTGCTGATTTTTGATCAAGTGAAATTGAAGAATACCATAGATTCCCTTTTGACGAGGACAACGGCGTACGTGATGATGTCTGCAGTTGTGAAAGACCAATCGATTACTTCAAATTGTTCTTGGACAACAATATTATGGATTTGAACACAGCAGAAACTAACGGTTATGGCAATGCGAATGCTGCCACAGTTGGAAACACATTTGCATGAATCGACAGCGGAGAAATTTATAAGCTTTTCGGAATGTCCATTCAAATGGGTTTGGTTTCCTTCTCCGAAGCTGCTGACTCGTCCCCCATCTTTGCACAGTTTTCCCAGCGTCTGAACTGCTATGAGACCGAATGAGGAAAATTTGCCCATGGCCCCGCCCGCTCTTGCGCATGTCATAACCCTTGTGGGCGGAGCTCTGCTAAGCTCATATATGCTCTGTTGCTCTTTTCCTATGCCCAACCCATCACGAACTTAACCCGACTTTTGTATATGCTTCTTCAAGTAATATCGAATTTCCGTACAAACAAACAGACAGACGAGACCGCTATACACATAGTAAGGATAGTAAGGGTGAATAAAGAAATAAATAAATAGATAATTCAATATATATTACAACTACCTTAGTGTGCAAAACTGGTGATGCGGTGGGGTATGATACCGCGGCTGCCCTCAAAACCCTGAATCCACCTATGAGTTGTTTTGAACATAGCTCCTATGGGCCTTCATTGTTGATTTGAAGCGGTATCCAGTGGAAATGACAACCCGACTCCTTTGTTAATTTTATAACTCATCCGCTTATCTCCATAAGTAGGCAGATCGACCCGCTTATATTGCACCTGATAGTTGCAACCACATAAGACGTCGTCAATTGTCAATATTTGACTAATCCGAAAGCTCATGCCCTCTTAACTTCCTAGACGGCACTCCGTCATGATGACATAAAATGCGCTCCCCATGTTCAAGGAGGTGCGGCTTCTTTTGAGACTCCAACCATAGAAGGCTACGGACTCTTCCACCACTGCCATAAAATTGGAGCTCATGGGCCAGATCACAAACTTGAGGGCTACGTTTCACTTCGGAGCCTCTATATCTCCACAAGCGCGTGAGGTGAGTACGGAAGTCCTATCGAATATGATGACACCTCACTCGTTCAGAAGATTCGCTGGTAGCATGTTGAAGAGCGTTTGAACCATTTGTGATACCATTTCTGATATCTTATACCATTTGTGCAGGAATGAGGTCGGAAAACGGCTGGATAGGGCACAGTATAGGCAGGAACAGTGGGGGACGTCAGGCCTCCGCCCCTCGCGAGGCTGACTACGAGTTCAAATTGTCCTTCACCACATTCGCACTGGAGCGAAGTTGGTGAAAAATCGATACGCTGATTGGCAAATTGCCAGGAATGGTCAGCCTTTCGACCGCCTCGTACAGGAGCTAGTATTCAGCTGTTATTTCTATTATTCTACTATTACTCTGCGCTATTCTCTTCTAAGTATTCCCTGCCTGCCGTCGTCGAATGGATGAGGTAAGTATTTCAGGGAGATAATAATAGCAGGGAGAAATCCGATCAGCTGTTTGGGTGTGTTGTCTGTATTGCAGACATTGCGTCGCCTTCGTGCATTCTCGCCCGAACACTCCCTAACCGCCGTTATTTCAATGTGAGACTGGTCCAACCCCCTTTCCAGCTCTTTTTTGACCCTTTCTATTTCTTTTTGTTCATCGTTTTTTGCGCTTTTTTCGTTGTTATCGCTTTATTCTAGAGTAGTTCTATCAATTCCCGTCAAAAAAGGGTACCCTAACTTTTTTTGTGAACGGTGCCTCTAAGCCCATTTTAAGTAAAAATTTAGAGTTCCTTGTTTGCTCTAATGGAGCTCCACCCTTATTCGGCCGGTGAGGAGCGCGAAAAAGCTTGCCTAGTAATACCTCTCCAGTGTTCCTAAATTGTGAGGGAGTCCTTTAGATGCCCAACATTGAGCCCAAAAACGGTTGCAAGCGTTTAGGACGCATTTCATGGAAAAACAAAACGAGCGCATGTATCAAGGATTCGAACTTTGATGTCATGCCTACTAGTCCACCACGCTACCCGCTAGACCACCGCTGCACAAACCGGTGCTTCGCTCGGCTCGGCGATCCGTTCGGTAAGTGGTATAACACAGGGAGGCACCGGTCCTGTAACTTTGTTCACAAGATCGTTTCGCACACTTAGAACACAGATTTGAGATCAGCATTCGAAACCATCTACGAGGGTATACTTCTCATCTTGAATGGCCACTGCGACTAAGTATCTTTCCCTTGTCAGGAACGTTGTTGAACTTGATCGTTCTGGTGGTCGAGGTGTTATGGTATGGGGAGACGTCATGCTTCGTAGCCGTACGACCTCCAGCTTTTTGAGCGTGTAATCCTTACCAGTCAGCGTTGCTGTGAAGAGGTACTCCTTAATGCGCGCCTTTTCAGGGCTGCAGT